CTGTCAACAGCCAATACCCCGGCCTGCCCCAGAGAGCACCCAGTGGGTGGCCTGTGTGTCCCCCCTTCCCTGGGCTGGCCCGAGGGGAGCACTGGTGAGCAGCCTGTGTGGCCCCTCTACCCCCAGGCTGTCCCAGAGGCAAAACTGGTAGCCAAGGTGTGCTACCCACTTCCCCCAGGCCAGACCTTCTCCTCCCCCAAGGATGGCCCCAGGGAAAAGCTGACAGCTAGGGTGAATGTGCCCCCTGGCTGGCACTGGGAAGAAGCCAGTGGCTGGGGGGCATGTCTCCCCCAGCCTGGCACAGCCCTACCCCCGCCCCAGGCTGAACCTGGGCAACATCAGGTAAGTTTTCTAGTCCACAGATATAGATGTGCATAAGCCACTTGCATGATAAGATGTGGATCTGGCTCACTATTTTAATTTTGGAAAAGTCTGACGTTAAATATGGGAGCTACTACACTGAAAATATTTCTCAATACGTAAGTGTGGATAAGAGACAAAATAAATAGCAGTTTGCCCTAGCGCAAGGTTTTACACATATCTAAAAAGTACCCAAATGGGATGACTTTGCTTCTGTCCATATCCCATGTGATTCATTAACTAAACAGAGAGCCAAATCAGCTGCTCTCTGTAAGCAGATACAAGAGTTTTGTATCTGCCAATATTATGGATCTTCTTTTTGTAGACTCTCAAGGCACATATCACTGAAGGGTAAATCCACAGGTAAAAAATGAAAGCTATTTTATAATAGTAAACACTGACACCATTGTGTGAAACATGCTATAAAAGTACAAGGTATTATTGTAAGGCAAGCCACTAACTTTTCAGTCTAAACTCAAATAACCCTCATAGCACTACCAGGTCTTTCAGTTTTTAAATAATGCAGTGTTTAGTGATTACAGATATCAAAATACACATTCATTATGTAGAAACAGTATAGGAACATCCCATTTTTGTCAACACTATGCATGGAAGCTATGCATGGAAAGCTATGCATGGAAAGGAAATTTCACATGTCTGTTTTCAGAAAATTCAAAGAATAACGTTAGCTGTGCAATTCAGTTTGCATTCAACAGAACTGTGTGTAAAGTCTTGGGGAAAACAAATTTACTCAGGAGATAGAGCAATCCTGCAGAAATGTTTTAAAATTAACTAGGCCAATTCTGCACTCTGCCTTGACTGGGAGTAAAATCAGACCTGATAAGGTGTTTACACACTTATGGATAATGAGTAAAATGTGTAAGTTCACTTAATTGAGCTCAAAACCTAAACCCGACTGATGTTTTTCCCTGTAAGTTCAGTTTGTGCCTTCCAAATGGGATAAACTCCTATATCACTAAGGCACTTTTGAAATTGTTGTCCAACATCTTAGTCTGAAATATATTTACAGGAAGTTGAACTGCTACTTTAATAGATTAATGATTCTGCAAGAAGGTTAAGAACATTTTTGTAATGCTTGAGATGGATTTTTACAAGTTTGCTATTAAAATCCCACCTGACAAAACCGGATACCATCGCTGCCATTTCCAAGCTATTCTCACTGCTAGAGGGCAGCCCACCAGATCAATGTGAAGCATAGTAGGGAGGTTCCTGGATAAAGCTTGCATATATCGTCTTCATGCCCTACATGGTCAGTGAAGAGAAAAGAGACATTGATCTCCAGGGCTGTTAGCCATTTACACCGTTCCACAAAGCACTAAATTCAGCATATATTTTTTAAATCAGCTATTGTAGAGTATTTGTAACAACTAGTCCACCATATTCAATGAGTATACGCAAGGTATCCGCACTCAGTCTTTTTAAAATTCTACACACATTCTAACATCCTCGTCTGTCTTCTCAGTAGGGTTGTATCAGGGATGAGCATGGGAAAACTTTGAAACAAGAAAGGAAGCCTTGGCAAAATGTTCATTTTGATCATGGCTACTTTTTCCCACAAAGACATGACATTCCTTCCTCCCCTCTCCCCACTCCAGACCTCTTAATTTGCTCAAGTCATGGATCTCAAAAAGGGGATCCTCAGGATCTCTTCTGAGATTTGAATTCCCAGATATCTTTTAAAATGTTGCCCACTCGTACCCAAATATTTTTGGGGTGTGAGTTTTCAGTTGGAAAAATTTATAGCAAGCATTTTTCTCAAATTTCTAGAAAAAAAATCTTTTATACAGACTGCTCCATGAAGAGAAGTGTCAGTGTTTGATCAACTAGGAAACTCTATATAACACTTAAATCAATCTTTGCAGACCTCTTTCCTAACAGAAACCTGGTCCATCTATGGCACACTGCTAAAAGGATCTAGAAAAGCCAAGTGACGCCGGAGAAATAGGGTTTGATTTAGAAAAGAGGACCAGCAGTTTCAGTCTTTAAGAAACTGTTTCAGTGCTTCCTGACACCAGTCAGGTTACAAAATAGAGATATTAAATGGGGATAAATGTTGAAGAAATGTTTGGTGAAAGAGGAACTCTTATGAAATATGGTGGAATGTTCAATCATTAGAGAGTATTGGGATGCAGTCCATAATCATAGATCACAGATTGCTGTAACTTTGGCTATCTCTAGACTACATCCCTTTTTCGGTAAAGGGATGTAAATTAGTCACATTGATATTGCAAATGAAGTTGGGATTTATATTTTCCATTATGCAAATTAAATTCATTATGCAAATTAATTTAATTAATACAGCCTTGAGAAAGGACATGCCAAGAGATCTGATTTGCATAATGGTGGCTGCCACTTTTTTTCAAAATGGGGCTTTTTTGAAAAAATCCCCAAAACAGCAGTTTAAGACGGGCATATTTTGAAAATAAAAATGAGGTGTACAGGATCTTTCGAAAAGGGGTTTTATTTTCGAAAGATTCCCATCTAAACTGACAGGGATTTTTTTCGAAAAAGCCCCATTTCGAAAAAAAGCGGCAGACGCCATTATGCATATGAAGCGCAAGATATTTAAATCCCAGCTTCATTTGCAATATCGATGTGCCTAAATTACATCCCTTTACTGAAAAAGGGATGTAGTCTAGATGTACCCTTTTATTACCAAATGATCCTTTGGTGATATTTCCTAGAATAAATTATCACAAAAAAGGAAATGAATAACTGAAAAATAAAGAAAAATACTCCAACCATAGTGGGATGGTCCATAATATATGGGAAGTGATTGTTATTGAAAAAATTTAACACACTAATTCTATACCTAGCAAAATAGACAGAGGCCAAACGGATATTAGATATTTGGCTGCCTTTGGAGATTAACACACTTTGAATAATAGACAAAGTGCATTCATGAAAAAAGAACCCTTGGCATTCTTGTCCAATAACGTTTGATAGACATGCCTGATCTGTTAAATATGTATGGCCAGGGATGTCAATGAGTTTAATTAATACAGCCATGAGAAAGGACATACCAAAAGATCTGATGGCTATAATCATTTATGTCTTTAAAGAAAAGCTCAGAGTCATAATGATTGTTTTCTGATACTTCCTAAGTGTAGCCCCCTTACTAAAGAGGCTTCTGTTTTATTCTGAAAAGACCCAGTGTGCTACAATCCAGACTACAATTCCCATGAACCTGTGGGAAAAACAGGAAGGAAGGACTCTGGTTTGAGAGCGGACTGCTCTCTTTCCATGCGCATGAAGAAGAGGCCTAGCAGTCTGGCACTCTGCTTAGAGTTTGGAACCAAAGGGGGAGCCAGGCTGCTGCCAAGGACATTGATCCAGTTCAGGGGCTGTTGGATGCAGCTTCTAGATGCCTGTTGGAACTGGGTTTTAGCAGGCTGCTTCCAATAGGCACAGCACGAGGCAGTAAGTTTTGGGCCTTGTTGGAAAGTGCTGCCTGGGACAGAGTTGCTGTCTAGCCTGGACCAAATCTCCACTACAGCTGCAACATCAGCGCGCCAAGGCAAACAAGAGTCTGGGACTGTGAGTCTAGGGGTGTGCACGCTCTGGGGTGGGGTCACAATTAGTACAAATGGTAGCTGTATAAGCTTCAGTTATTGATATGTGTTTTGTTAATGCTATTCATTTCTAATTCTGTTAATCCCTGTTTATTTAAGTAAAGATTGTTTATTTTAAAGTATTCCATTAGATGTATATG